GGGTGTGTACAATGTTCATCCTTAACAATAATAACGCCCCGCCCAGGTATGCTAATGCCCTCCACTTCAAAGTCCAACACTGCATAGCCAGTATAGGGGATCTCTAATCCATTGGCTGCTCTCAATTGGAAGAATACAGGGGTCTTCTCAGGTTTAATTCCAGTAAAATATTTTTCTAGGAGACTCTGTTGCATTAAAGTTACTTGGGAACCCGTATCCAGCAACCCCTGGATCTGGACTCCCTCAATGGTCACCCCTATGGTAGGACTTTGCTTGATGCAGAGTACAGAAACACGCCGACTGAGGCGACATGTTCAGCTGTGAGTAACCCATGTGCTTCCCCCAAATCATCACAGGGACCTGGCTGGAAGGAGGCCCTAAAGAGGGAGATTATGGAGGACGTGAAGGCGCAGATGGGAGAGCTTACCCAGGAATTGGTGAGGGAGGTCTCCTGACGGATAGCAGCAAAATCCCCCTCAGGGTTACGGAGAGCATAAACCTTTAAGGCCTGGGCCAGGGGACCCTCCTGTAACCCCAACAACAGATGGTCCCGTAAGGCTACATCTGAGGGGGAGTCGTCGGGGTCATGTTGCCGCAACCTACAATGTAGCTCGCGCAACCTCAAAATAAAAGAAGATACAGTCTCACTTGGCTTCTGGGTGCAACCGAAAAACTGAGACCTTAACACCGCGGTTGGAGTGCGGTCTCCATACAAGGAATCTAAATAGTTAAGAATTTTACGGACTTGATCTTTTTCCTTCTCTTCCAAAACACTGACCTGACGTTTGGCTTCCCCAGCCAGCGCCCCCAATACAATATCAACCTTCCTAGGTTCTGCCAACTCCTGTGTCCCTAGCAACCCGGTTATCTGTTCCTTCCAGTCACAGTATTTTAAGTCCTCCCCATGTCCTTTAAATTTTGGAAGCCAAGGGGCCCCTGGGTAAACAGGCATCATCATGGCTAATTTATTTGGCTCCAACAGCCGCTCCCAAAGCCTGGATCCTGCCAACAACGCCAAATGTGGCACCTTCCTACCGGGTGGGTGGGCTACATTATATATCTACCAAATACAAAATCCCACCCAAGGATTACACCAGGTAAATTGAGAGCGTCTGCCAGAGATCAAAGGAATCAGCCATTAACCACCGCACCGGGGTTTATTGAAAATTCTAATTAAAACATCATTTTAAAAAAACCAGGTTAGGACAGTCACTATAAACGGTTGTCAGAACTGGGCCGGAGAGTCTGCAGCCTTATCTGGACGCTGCGGGGCAGATTCCTCCTCCTTGGGGACGCTTGTCTGCCGCGCTGCCGGTTTCCTCTTCCCTCGATAGCTCGCCTCCTCCTTCAAGATGCGCGTCTGCCGCACCGCCGTTTCCCTCGATCGGCCGCTTCCTCCTGCAGATCAGTCACTGGCTCGGCCGCGTCACCGCGCCACGCTGTCGTCCTCCTCTGTCGCGGGTCCACATGTCAGTGAATTTAACGGCAGTCACTGCTCGATCACACACCGCGGGTCACACCTTGTCACAGGGCCGCTACTCACACGCCAGGGCAGAGGAATACCCTGCCCACATCTCCATGAAGCCTCGTCACAGACGATCGGTGTCCTTTCACCCGGCGATTCTCTGCTTGCTGCCACCGTCTCCACCAAAAAAAACAGACGCTCCTAATCTGCCACCGGTGCAGGTAATTGCTCCGGTCCGGATGTCATCTGTCCAAGCTCATCAAAATAAAATCACACACCCTCCCAGTTTCCTGGGTTCCCCAAAATAAAAGCATTCCATGCACTAAACTAAATAAAAAAGAATACACACTAAAAACACACCACACTAGAAGGAAAACCACAATAAAACAGACTTTGCCCGTATGACATCTACACTCACCCAAACGCCCGTCAAAGCACGTTGAGACGCGCTGTGTGAACAAGAATCAGATTGATTATTCATTTCAGCACATGTACGACATAGTGTAAAAACTAGTTTACCTTTGGATGTTTTAAAAGGCAGAACAGGGAAAAACAGTTTTCTGGGTGGCAAAACAATCGCTTTAATCAAACCAAAATAGTGACTTGGATCTCTGAAATTTTTAACATGAATTTCGGAATGCCCAATGGGATAATTTTGTGTGGCGTTTACATAAGGGTACAGGCTCATAAAATCCACATAGTGGATTTTTTCACCGCTCTGAGCCGAATGCCTCAGCCGAACCGGACAAGTTCTGCCTCCGTACAGGGCTTCACGAGGTAAAAGAGGAGCTGGCGGGGGGTCAAATCTTGAGACAAACTGTTTCACGTCCGGATCAGTTTTTACCATCTCCTGCCAATCATGTTCCCAAATGACATTCATTTTTAATCGATGCACAGTTTCCAACGACTGAAGCTTTTCGACGGTTTTGTCATAAATTTCACCAAAAGTGATTTTTCTCAGAGGACATATGGATGACGACAGGAAACATTTTGGACAGCCGTGGAAAAAACAACCCATAAACTCAAAGCCATTGTCAACGCCTGAAATCACAGCATATCCGTCGAGATAAAAATCTCCCACTTTATACTCCCCCAAAGGCGTTAAAGCGTGTTGAATGTCTACATTTTGACTGCGTGAAACCCATTCCAGCCACACGATGCTTGAACTTGAAAATGGTTTTTGTTGCGGTCGATAGCCGAGCGGACAAGGGATGGCCAATGTGTCTGGTTTTAGGAATTTTGATCTAAACACTCGCATGCAAGCTGAAGCGATCGTGACAGATTTCAGCGGGTCGATCCCTTTTTCATTAAAAAACTCCTCTGAAAATACCGCATGCTTTACGCAGAATTTCCACATCGTTTCTACAATAAAACATAGCCTCCTTCCTGAAATCAAACAGCTGTTGTTTAGTCACATCGGTGTACCATTCTAAAAATATCTTTTTATGCTCCGGAGACATTTGTTCAAACCCATAATGGCTGACATCTGGATAAGGCCCTTTATAATTCAGATGTTCAAGCGATGAAAATCTGTGAGGAAAATAACCTTTAGTTTTATCTGTAAAGCCCAAAGCAGCTGGAAGGTTGGCTAATTTCATCATGAGAAAACTTAAGGAATCTATGAATCTCAGCCCGAAATCTGGATCGTGAAAACTCAAGATTTTACAGCCTTGCATGAGTATATTTTTGGGAACAATTTTTAATTGACACATAGCTCTCAAAATTATATAAGCATCAAATCCGCGCGCATTGTGTGCAACAAATGTATAATTGCTGAATTTAGGACGACGCATCTGCATAATAAAATCTTTAATGCAATCTAAACCAAATTTCTCCCAAACGCCGCCTGAATCGGATTTTGCACAGATTAAAAAAGGTGTATGCACACCGTTCTGATCCGTAAACGTTTCAGTGTCGTAATAAATAAACTTTTCCGTTAAACCGTCATCTTTTTTTTCAAGCTGAATAAAACAGCGATGATCATCCGTGACCACCGACTGTTTGCAAACGATGCATTTGGTCGCTGAGCAAACGTGCTTTGAGCCATTTCCACCCATAGCGATGTAATAAGTTTGTTTACAAATGGTGCATTTTTTAAACATTTCGCAAGGAGAAACTGCCCTGTCTGCTTGAGGCCTGAAAACAGGTGTTTTGTGAGTTTGAAAACATATTACATTTTGGCATATTCGATTACAATCAGAACATGTGATGAGAGACGTTTCTGTCCGTTTGCATAAATCGGTATTACACACGCGACACAACCATTTACAATGATGTCCGTTCATGTTATTATAAGGGTTAAAGCACCAAGAACAAAAATATTTGGCTCCTAAGAAACCTTTAATATTTTTTATGCCGTAATAATGTTGATTCAGTAGCAAAATGAACAACGGATTTGACCGATTGCTAAAATCTGTTTCAAATTTAGAAATGATTCTGTCGGATCTGTAAAAAATGATTATTTTTCTTTGAACAATATTTTCAAATCTAATCATGTCGCTAAATGAAACGGTTGATTGCTCCTGAAGCCCTGACTGTTGATGAATATTTTTAGCCACATTCAATAATTCTGTATCTCTCGCTGAGGGATTTAACAGTCCGACTATGCTTAGCGCAAAACACAACGGCTGATTGGCCTCTGGAGGGCAAATGAGATGGTTTCGTTTTTTATTGACTAATTCGTGATCCAGAATGGTTTCGATTTTTCGTTTCCCGCCGCCAGAAGGGTTATTTATCACCTGCAGTCTGAAATTAAATTCGTTGTCGGCCTCTAATGCTTCATTTGATTGGACTAATCGATCCAGTAAATACTGAAGCTGATTTAACATATTTGATCCGTCATAATTAAAATTAACGTGGTGCGCCGTGTGCAAAGTATTAATTTCAAACTGTACCCTATCATTGGGACGTGCGATCTGGCTTCCTCTTTCAGCAAACCTGCTTAATATTTCCATCAGATTAATATAAAACTCGGCTGGGTCGTTGATTGCTTGAAAAGACACTCTCTCTCTAATTTCACGCTGGTTAAAAGCTGCGTTTACGCTCCCTCCGATCTGCTGGTGTTGTATTTGTCTCAAAATTTCGTTTATTGCTTCTGGAGATGGTTGATCTGAATTTGATAGAATTTGATCGATCTCGTTTATGACCCCTCCACACTGCTGGTGTTCTATTTGTCTCAAAATTTCATTTATTGCTTCTGATGAAGGCTGAGATGAATTTGCTAGAATTTGATCGACCTCGTTTGAAATGGCTTGGGATGCTAAAATATCGTCTAAAATCTCACTATCTGAAGCTAATTCATCTACTTCACTCAGTCCGCTTAAATCAAACCAGTCAGTTAACACCAAATTATCGACCTCCTCCTCCTCTGAAGGATTTTGGCTGGCTAGAATTCTATCTAACAAATCTAAGTTGTTTAATTCATCATCTACTTCGCACAGATCTGAAAGTTCATCAAACCAATTTTCACTCATGATACAAAAGACATTAAAAACCTACTAAAAATGAAGAAAAAAAAATCTGCGTCCTCCTCCTTTTACAAAGCCAGAACTTGCTGGACAACTTCCACCAGGCCGGAGTTGATTTGCAGCAATAAGTATGTCAACTTCATACGATTCAACCGCTGAAGTGGTGTAAGACGGATGTTTTTCTTCTTCTTAATATGTTTTTCTGATGAAAAAATAAATAAAAATAAATAAAATGAACGAGCTTTTAATAAATTATTTATATAAATATTTAACTTACTCTGTACGGGTGCAGGAGGTGGGGCGTTCTCTTCCTCTTCATCTGAAAGGATAAAAAGCATCATATTTTTACTTCAAAATTTAATATACGCTGCGGAGTGGTTTTGTGAAACGGCTTACGGGCTGGCTGCTCAGGAGCACGGTCAGCGGTTTCAGAGTCGCTGTCGGATTGATCTGAAAGAATAAAAACAAGGAAAAATATGAACGAATCATCTTTGAAGTAAATAACCACCTTTTTATATATCTCTTACCCTGTGCAGGAGAAGGGGGAGGAGGAGGAGGAGGAGGAGGTGTGGGCTGAGATATTGAAGCGGCTGTCAGATGTTGTTCTGAAAGGATAAAAACAACGGTAAATGTGAACGAGTCATCTTTGACTTATTAATCAGTTTTTTTTTTATCGTTACCATCCGTCTGCGCAGGAGAAGGGGGTGGAGGTGGTGGAGGCTGAGATATTGGGGGTGCGTAGGCTGTCGGCCGTTGCTCTGGAGAATAAAAACGATAAATATGAACGACACATCTTTGACTTATTAATCACTATTTTGTAATCACTTACCAGCTTCGAGGATCGTCTGTGGTGTGATGATCCTGTAACGAACAGCTTTCGCGTTCGTGTGTGATCTGACGGTCTGGCTGGGCTGATTTGAATGTAAGACGGTTCGGCTGGTGGATGGAGGCGTGGTTGGATAAAAGTTATCACTTCCGGGGTAAGGTTGAACCCCCTCCTTTTCTGTGAAATGAAATATTTCTCAGTTGACGTTATGTATATATATATATATATATATATATATATATATATATATATATATATAAATATATATATATATATATTTATAAAATCCACTCACTCAGATTGTCGACCGCACGGTTAATTTTATACAAATCATCTTGATGAAAAGGTATCGGTGTTTTACAAGTTAATTCCTCAATAGGAATTTCTTCCCACTCGCCGTCCGATATGACAATAGCGTCTGAAAAATAAAGATGTTAAACCAGAAAGAAACAAAAAGATTTGCATCTTAAGTTAAAAACTTACCCGTCATCTTAGCTCGTTACACCTCAAATCACGACTCCGAAAATGCGTTTTACATTTTATACCGCTGTTTAAAAAAATCTTGAATAGAAAACGGTTGCGATTGGTCGAAAAATTTTTTTAAATAAACAATACAGAGTCATTTGCTTTGTTGTGTAAGGAGACAAATGATTGAATGGCTGATTAGAGTTGGTAACCCAGAGAGAGTCAGACATTTTCTGAAAGGTGTGTGTGTGTGTGTGTGTGTGTGTGTGTGTGTGTGTGAGTGTGTGTGTGTGTGTGTGTGTGTGTGTGTGTGTGTTTAACTCGTATCCATTTCTTCTTCAAAACTCCCAGAGCAGAAATAAAAAAACCTTTACGATCCAAAAAATAATACCGGACTGGTTTTGTACCGGACATTTCTTCCTGAAATCGCTTATGTTTCCTTAATAATGGATAAAATGTAGCAGCTCCTTCACTCGTGTGTAAATCCGTTTACGACATGCATGTGCCTTAGTTTAACTATTCTGAGAGGAACGACATTAAAGTTTTGATAAAGAAGGTTTGGCCAGAGGTACGTCTGCTCCGAGACTTTACTAATCCCCCTCTCCCAAAAATTTAATTCAGCTGTTATAGGTCCTACAAAAAGGATCAAACCTTTCTCTAAGGCAGGAAGCAAGTGTGTGTGTGTGTGTGTGTGTGTGTGTGTGTGTGTGTGTGTGTGTGTGTGTGTGTGTGTGTGTGTGTGTGTGTGTGTGTGTGTGTGTGTGTGTGTGTGTGTGTGTGTGTGTGACAGTGAAAACAAAAAGTCACAAAATGTGACACTAAAGGCAGGAGGCGAGGGGTTAAGCTTTCAGTGCTGATGATGAGGAACCAAAGGATGCTGTTCACCTAAATAGCTCTTTGAAACAATAGTGAGTCATTTGCTTTTGTGTGTTGTCGGTTCAGCCAGTTCTTTGTTTTACAACTTTCCCGCCACCTGCAAAAAAGGAAGTCAATTGCTTTGTGAGAAGTCGCCGGCCGTGCAAACTTGTTTAGAATGAGCTTTAAGAAAGCTCAACCAGTTCTTTGTTGACCAACTTCCTGGCACTCTTTCAAACAAGCCCACCTGCAGAACAATAAGTAAGTCAAATGCTTTGTGGCTGAGATGGGGTGATTTTGTTGTAAAGTATAAGGAGAGGTGTGGCTGAATGGTTTAGTCAAAGACAAATGTTTGAATGTAATCTTTTTACTTATTAGAGAAGTGTGTGTGTGTGTGTGTGTGTGTGTGTGTGTGTGTGTGTGTGTGTGTGTGTTTACAGCCTCTGATGATTCATTCTGATGTGCTGCTGGACAGAAAGTTTTACACAATAGTTTTAGTTCTGGTTAAAAAGTGTCAGTGAGCTGCATGTAAATATTTACACATTTAAACACAAAGTTTAAGACTGAACATACGAAATCCAAATATCTAATATTTGGGAGAAAAGCACTTTGTGAACATCTGCCAGATGGCTGAGTAAATCAAAGAGAGCAGGGAGTATTAATGACATAGACAATGTGTCACTCTGAAGAGTTTGTGTGTGTTCAGCAAAAGGCTGCAAAAGTTCTTGCATTGACTTCAGCTTCTGCCACTCACTCGAGAGCAAGCAGACCATCCCATCTTGTTTGCTACTTCACAAACAGATTCTTTAACTTTGAGGAGACGTACAACCATTTCATAAGTACTTGACCAGTGTGTGGGGCTGTCTGTCATTCACAGCAGTTAGGCCGCACTCATCCACTGTCAGTGACCCATGGCATGTTAGATATACACCTCTTTCTCGTGGCTTGGTGCTTCATTCAGCTCCTCGTGGTTCATCATTTTTTCTTAGAGCTCGGCTTTTCAGCATTCGGACACGATCTGAGCTTTTAAAGAGTTATGCAAAGGGGGTAACACTATAGGAATACACTCAGAAGGGAGGGGGCTGTGGGAACCACTGGGGTAACACAATAAGAAACTTCACGTGCCATTACACACATTAGCCTATGACGTGGGGGATCATGGACATCTGGACGTTCAACAATACGCCATTGATGATGCGGCGTGGGGGGTCTAAGCCATCTGGACGTTCAACAATACACATTTCCATTTGATTAATGATAGGGAAGGGGGGGCAAGGTCAGGGGGTCATTGAACAATACACCTGTCCATTTGATTAATGATAGGAAAGGGGGGAAGGTCAAGGGTCAAAATGAACAATAGGACTGAAAGGTCAAAAAGGTCAAAGAACAATAGACCTGTCAAAATGTTTGACGAAAGGTATCTTATTATGTCTCTCATTCCCACTGCTGGCACCGCCATCTTCAACTCTCATGGAGAAGAAGAAGAAGAAGAAAATATCATTTCTATAGCGCCTCTCAAGATAAAAATCACGAGGCTCTTCACAAAAACAAAAACAAAAAATAAAAAAATTGTAAAAATATAAAAAAGCATTTTGAAAATGTTTAAAATATATTTAAAATGAGCAAGAATAAGCTATTGCGATTTAAAAGAAAAAATGTTAAGAAAGAGAGAGAGTGAATAGGAAAGAGGGAAATCAGTGGATCCTGAGGAAGGTGGAATAAGTGGCGAGAGCAGAATAAAGAGAGAGTGGTGAAGAAGGTAATCCAAAAGCCAGCTTGAACAAGTGAGTCTTCAGCTGCTTTTTGAAGGAGACCACTGAGTCCACTGATCTCAGGCTCAGGGGGAGAGAGTTCCAGAGTCTGGAGGCCACAGCAGCAAATGATCTGTCACCTTTGGTCTTTAGCCTGGTGCTGCACAACCAGTAGGCTTTGATCACTGGACCTCAGGGACCTGCTGGGGGTGTAGGGACTAAGAAGATCACCAATGTAAGATGGTGCTTGTCCATGTAGGGCCCTATAGACCAGAACCAGGATCTTGAAATGAACCCCGGAGTTGACAGGCAGCCAGTGAAGCTGGAGGAGAAGCGGGGTGATGTGGGTGTATTTGGAGGACTTGGTCAGAAGCCGAGCACAGGCATTCTGAACCACCTGTAGACGGTTCAGGGAGGTTCTGCTCAGACACGTGAAAAGAGAGTTACAGTAGTCTAAGCGTGAGGAGATGAAGGTGTGGAGAACTGTCTCAAGTTCAGAGCGGGACAGAATGGGACTCAGCTTAGCAACGTTCCTGAGATGGAAGAAGGAAGAGCGATTAAGAGAACTGACATGAGAATCCAGGGTGAGAGCTGGGTCAAAGGTCACACCAAGATTCCTGACGGAAGGTTTGGTGTGGGAAGCAAGCTGACCAAGAGAGTCTCTGACTTTGGGAACCAGCTTGTCTGGGGCACAGATGAGGATCTCAGTCTTATCTTCATTCAGCTGAAGAAAGCTCCCAGCCATCCAGACTTTGATAGAGTCTAAGCAGGTGTGTAACAGCTGCAGCTTAGACATCTCATGGGGCTTAAAGGAGATGTACAGTTGGATGTCATCTGTGTAAAGATGGTAGGAGATTCCCTTGAAGGAGCTCAGGGTGTGCTGAAGAGGAAGCAGATAGAGGAGGAAAAGCAGAGGCCCCAGCACAGAACCTTGTGGGACACCTGGGTCACCACATGGGTAAGGGAGGTGGTGGAGGACCCAAACTTGGAGACGGCCACAGAAAAGGAGCGCTCAGAAAGATAAGAGGAGAACCACTCCAGAGCAGATCCTGATAGGCCGACCCAGTCTCTCAGCCTCTCTAGTAGCAGGTGATGGTCAACAGTGTCAAAGGCTGCAGTCAGGTCCAGCAGGACCAGAACAGAACAGTCCTCTGCATCACTGTGAGTAAGAAGGTCATTAGAGACCATAAGAAGAGCTGTTTCAGTAGAATGAGCTCTACGAAAACCTGACTGGAAGCTATCATAGATGTTCTGTTCATCAAGAGCAGCTGTGAGTTGTTTAGCCACAACCTTTTCCAAGATCTTGGAGATGAACAGAAGTTTAGAGATGGGTCTGAAGCTGCTGTGGAGAGAGGGGTCGAGACTCGGTTTTGTAAGAAGCGGGTGGATTACAGCGTCCTTAAAGTAAGCAGGGACCTGACCAGAAACCAGCGAAGCATTCTTTATAGAGAGCACGCTGGGACCGATGGACTGAAAAGCACTTTTAAACAAAGATGAGGGTAAGATGTCGAGGGGGCATGCAGAGGTCTTCATAGAGTTAACTAGTTTGGTTAACTCAGGCAAAGAAACAGGAGCAAATCTATCTAGGATGATGGGCCTGGTTGGAGTCGGGAGAGGCAGCGATAAGGCTGAAGGAGAGATGCTAGATCTAACCTTATTGACTTTGTCCACAAAGAAAGACAGAAAGTTCTCACAGTCTGCAACAGAGTGGATGGAGGCTGTAGGAGAGGCAGGAGAGACAATACTGCTGATGGTGTTAAACAGCACCTGGGGGTTCCCTTTGCTCTTTGACACCAAGTTGGAAAAATAGGAAACCCTAGCATCTCTGACTGCAGAGTTAAAGGATGACAGAAGATTCTTTAGGTGCAGCAGATGGACGTGAAGATGGGTTTTCTTCCACAAGCGCTCAGTTTTTCTGCATTGGCGCTTCAGGCTGCAAAGGCTGTCATTCAACCAGTGAGTAGGGTTCACTGCAGGAACTGATCTGGTTCTGACAGGACAGATGTTGTCCAGAATGGAGAGGCAGTGCTCGTTGAACTGAGAAGTTAAGGAATCTGGGTCGTTATCAGAAGAACAGGGTGGATCAAAAGCAGCAGAGAAATGGCTAGCTGTGCTCTCATTAAGAAAACGAGAACTAACCATACGGCGAGCAGGAGGTGGGGACGCAGAAACTGACAAGTTAAAGAAAATGCAATGGTGATCTCAAATATGAACATCCTCAAGACAAACACTGTCAGCATTTAGACTCAGGGTAAAAACAAGGTCTAGAGTGTGCCCCCTGGTGTGTGTGGGGCCAGAAACATGCTGGGCAAAGCCGAAGGTGTCCATAAGGCTTGAGAAATTCATGGCTAAGTGATTGGAGGGATCATCAACGTGGATGTTAAAGTCACCAACAATCACCAGACTGGACAGCTTCACAGTGGAGGATAGAAAGTCACTAAACTCCTGAAGGAAAGAACTGTTTGGACCAGGTGGACGATAGACCACAGGACAGTAGCACGGGTCCTTACGCCCGACTTTAATCAGCTGCAGTTCAAAGGAAGCAAAGTGACCAGAGGTTGTAGAGCTACATGGAATATGGTCTCTGAAAACAACAGCTAGGCCTCCACCATGACCAGAACCCCGGGGCTGGCATGGGAACAAGGAGATGGAGAAGATTGTGAAGTGAAACCCATTCAGAAATGTGGGGGAGATTCACATAGAGTGGACTGCTGCTGGAGTCAGTGCTTCAAGAACCACCACGCACAGATGTATGCAAGACACAGGTTTCGCATTCCTTGTGTAAAGCCACTCTTAAACAAGAGATGGTGTCAGAGGTGGCTGAAGACAAAAGGACTGGGCTGCTGCTGAGTGGTCCAAAGTAATTTTCTCTGATAAAAGTAACTTTTATATTCCCTTTGGAAATCAAGGTCCCAGAGTACGGAGGAACAGGTGAGAGGACCAGAATCCACATTGCTTGAGGTCCATGTGTAAAGTTTCCACAGTCTGAGATGGTTTGGGTGTCATGTCATCTGCTACCAGAAAGTTTTAGAGCACTTCATGCTTCCTGCTGCTGACCAACTTTATGGAGATTTCATTTTCCAACAGGACTTGGCAGCTGCACACAGTGCCAAATCTATCAGTGCCTAGTTTAAGGACCATGGTAACCCTGTTCTTGATTTGCCAGCAAACTGGCCTGACCATAATCCCATAGAAAATCTATGGGGTAGTGTGAAAAGGAATGTGCAATTAGCCAGACCCACCAATTCAGAAGAGTTGAAGGCCACCATCAGAGCAACTTGGGCTCTCTCAACACCTGAACAGTGTCATTACTGCAGTAATCCAGGTCAAAGGAGCCCCAACTACATATTGTGGGCTGTACATGCTCATACATTTCATATTCATACTTTTCAGTTGGCCAACATTTCTAAACATCCTTTTCGTCTTCATGTACTCACCACCTCTAAACCCATGTTTCACGTAATTTCTGTCCAGGAATAAAAGTTGCTGCGTATTTTCTTACTCCTCCAATCCCGGGTGAATAAACTTTTTTATTTTCTGAGTTTTTCTGCGAGGTATTCTTCCAGCTGCTCTGTGTATGCCTATAGATATCTCTGGCTTTTTTCTTTTTTGAGGGTGCAATGGCAGTGCTGTTGACGAATCGAAAGGAAGTGGCACCCTGACCAATTACAAGCTTGCATTCTCCATTTCATTCAACAGATGTTTAGAAAAGTGGACCCGACTCCATCTCTACTTGCGAGCCTGCTGGAGAGCAATTGCAACAACAGATAATGGTTTTGCTTGTCTGCACCCACGCAGAAGCATAAACTAGGCTTAATCCAAACCTAAAGCTTAGTATATGCTTCTGCGTCAGTGCGAAGACATGCAACGCCATGATTCATCCTTGCGAGGCTCTCCAGCAGACTTGCAGGACGAACAGAGTCAAGCTCACTTTTCTAAACATCGGAGAAAACAAGCTTGTGATTGGTCAGGACTCCACTTTCATCAACAGCACCGCCATTGTGCCATCAAAATCATAAAGCAGCTTGAAGAATACCTCGTGGAAAAACCCGTACAAAATATGAACTTTTTTTTTTGCCCATGACTAGTAGCCCTCTTCTTCTAGCACTCACAGAGAAGTCGCTTCTGCTTTGCTCCCTTATCTGCTTTTCCCAAGGCTCTTTTTGTCCCGTCTGCCTACAGAGCGCTTCTCTGCATTTCCTCTGGAAATCACTATTTTTCAGAAATGGATTTAATTAACTGGTCATTCGATGCGATTGATAAGATTTTTTTCTATGATGAGAACGGAGGAGGGGGCTCGCGCTTGCCCTCACGGGACACATGCAGCGGGATATATGCTCGATTCCTGGAAGAAGTGGAATGTCATCTGTCTCTCTCAGCTGTCCATTGAGGACGTCGAAGATGTGTGGATATTTGGCCTGATGATCACTGGATTTCTTTTGATTGGAGTGGGAGGATATCTGGTTTTCCGAAAAATTGGGATGACGGGAGCGATTGGAGGGCGACCCGCAACCATGGACGGCACCGTCCGGGCGGAGACCTCACAGACTGGGACGTTACTCGAGGTGAATCGAAGCTGGACAATGTCTTTGCTGCGTTACCGGTGTTAGTGCGCAAAATGGATGTCATCTCGGAGAGGGTCACCGGACGGTGTGGAGATGTTTAATCACCGAATTGGCTTAACTGGAGGATTTGAATGATCAATACA